GCTATAGTGAAGAAAAAAAAAAGACAGCAATTGCATTTAAAAATCAGCACCGACATACACTTCGTATTGTGAAAAAAAATTTGTAAACCGAGCCATTATTTTCAATGGATTTTCATTTGATGCTGAATTTGTTACAGGGAGGGGAAGTCCTTTTCCACAGCACAGCTGGTTCTCAGCTTATCATTGGACTTTTTATTTTTATTTCAAAATTGGGACATTTATTCACTTGTATGGATATTTATATATATATATGCATTGATGTACATGCATAGTAGTGCACTACTAGTCACAAGTCACAAGCTCCTTTGTCAGACAAAGGAGCACACCCCCACAGCAGGTGCGCATGCTCTGAAACATCGTCGCATCACTCCAGTGACGAGGTTATGCCGACGCTATGCTCCACCTGTGTTCCACCTCACACCATAGCAGGTTTTCCGGTCCTATTCCATCTCACAGCTGGACCTTGGAACTGAACACCTTGACCCGCAGCCTACGCCAATCGGTCCCAGAGCACTCCATTTGACTCCAAATGTGACTGTACTTAATCTCTATAATGTAAGTGTATATTCACAGCATTGTTTTTAATAAAGTGTTTAAACAGTCTGCGCTCAATGGCGCCCTTCTCTACTTTCTTTCACATGTGATATTGGAGACTCGCGTCTGCTCTACCCTGAAGGCAGCCTTGAAGTAACGACCATCCTGGTATCCTTGTGGATCTTCTGCTGGACACATCAGTGGTCATCTCTTCCCTCTCCCTGTCACCTTTTTCCCCCCCATAGTGAGGGTATGGACATCTAACTTGTGCCAACTCACCTCTATTTATGTAAAGGATCGGTCCAGGTAGAAGGCAGAAATATGAACAATAAAACAGGCCAGGGTTAGTACACTCAGCAGGCGGAGGCAACACTACACTGGTGTGGCTATGATCAGGAACACTGTCGATGGCTGCACTGGTCTGGTGACAGTGGGAATTGTGTAGAGGGGATCAGGAACACTGTTACTTGCTTACACTTGTCGGGTGACACTGGGGACTAGTTTGGCAGCAATCAAAACACTGCTGCTGACTTACACTGTTCTGGTGACACTGCAGCTGGTGTGGCAATAATAAGGAATACTGCTGCTAGCATACACTGGTCTGGTGACCAGTATGGTGTGGGCAGGTGTGAAGGTGATCACAGACACTGTAACTGGTGTGGTAGTAATCAGGGACAATATGACTTGTGTGGCAGTGATCAGGGACACTGTAACTGATGTGGTGGTGATTGTGGACACTGAGTGGGTGATGCTAATTAGGGACACAAACTGGTGCAGTAGTGATAAGGGATACTGACTGGAAGCACTGGTTTTGTGACATTGTACTGCTGTGGTGGTGATCAGAGACATTGGATGACATACAGTGATATCAGAGCAGCCAGTCATTGTACATAATTACCACCACAATAGTAATATGTCACCATGGTAACACTACACTTGCTCTGGTGACAGTACGTAATAAATAAATATATATATATAGTCTCAAGGGTAGACATGGCACTCTACATTTGAGGAATATGCCCAAAAAAGAAATATATACAAATCACAGTCTTGCGAGGAGGTAGATCAAAGCAGCAGTGTTTTTATTGTTGACATTTCGATGAAGCACAGTCCATCTTTCTCAAGACACTACAAGGGGTCCGCAAACTTACGGCCCGCAGGCCACATGCGACCCGCTGAGGCCATTTATCCGGCCCGCCGGCAGGGGCGTATTTTCCGTGAGAAAGGGACACTAAGTACAGGGGTGGGCAGGGGGCTGCTGTACTTTACCTGGCTCCGGTCCCAGTCCCATGGTGATCCAGTCCAGGAAGCGCTGCTCCTTCATTTACTCTGGCCACTCCCTCACTCCTGCCGTTCGGCTCTGCCTCCTCACCGGTGATTGGGTGCCAGAACTCCCAAATTATCTAAAAAAATTATTCAATAAGTGAAGAATAACATAGACACTTCTCATAAATACCCATATACTATTAACTCTTAATAGATCTGTGATAAAAAATACCAAAATATACAATTCATAATATATGCCCAAATAACAGTGATAAAACCAATTGACATGATACTACTAATTCATAATAATGTGACAAATCGTGATACTTGTGACACAACTGAATATCAAAAAGAGGTATATATAGTGATACTACAATAGGTAAATACATATATCTGTGGTGAATCCTATAACAAATTAGAAAAAAATTGCTTCTTAAATCCAAAAATATATAAATAAATAAATAAATAAACTCGGTGTTTCAAAAAAAAAAACTCAAATAATCCATGCAAAAAAATTTGTGAAACACTCTGTGATCTTCACTTCTAGTGCTCAAGAAAGGAATCCTCCAACGGCAGAAATGCCTGCTCACCTCCCCTCCTCGACCCACACAGGGCCAAAAGGCAAAAAGGCTCTCCTTAAAGGCAATCCTTTCCTCCAGGCACCTCAGGCAGGAACCTCAGGACTTCCACTCCACCTCCTCTCACCACGTCATATAGGGCACAAACAGAAACTTCCCATAGTATAACACCGTTTTATTGTGAATAATAAAGCATAACAAACTTTCCAACTCACATGGTAACTTTGGATACAGCGCTTTTTCACCTCACATCATGGGTGTACTCTCATGCAGGGAGGGAAACCAATATGGCCGCTGCGTCCGGACAAAAACGTACCTGATGAAGTCACGACGCACGTGACGCAACGCGTCGGAACGCCATTCCCAGCACGTTATTACGTCACTTCCGGTCACGTGGGGACGTTTTTGTCCGGACGCAGCGGCCATATTGGTTTCCCTCCCTGCATGAGAGTACACCCATGATGTGAGGTGAAAAAGCGCTGTATCCAAAGTTACCATGTGAGTTGGAAAGTTTGTTATGCTTTATTATTCACAATAAAACGGTGTTATACTATGGGAAGTTTCTGTTTGTGCCCTATATGACGTGGTGAGAGGAGGTGGAGTGGAAGTCCTGAGGTTCCTGCCTGAGGTGCCTGGAGGAAAGGATTGCCTTTAAGGAGAGCCTTTTTGCCTTTTGGCCCTGTGTGGGTCGAGGAGGGGAGGTGAGCAGGCATTTCTGCCGTTGGAGGATTCCTTTCTTGAGCACTAGAAGTGAAGATCACAGAGTGTTTCACAAATTTTTTTGCATGGATTATTTGAGTTTTTTTTGAAACACCGAGTTTATTTATTTATTTATTTATATATTTTTGGATTTAAGAAGCAATTTTTTCTAATTTGTTATAGGATTCACCACAGATATATGTATTTACCTATTGTAGTATCACTATATATACCTCTTTTTGATATTCAGTTGTGTCACAAGTATCACGATTTGTCACATTATTATGAATTAGTAGTATCATGTCAATTGGTTTTATCACTGTTATTTGGGCATATATTATGAATTGTATATTTTGGTATTTTTTATCACAGATCTATTAAGAGTTAATAGTATATGGGTATTTATGAGAAGTGTCTATGTTATTCTTCACTTATTGAATAATTTTTTTAGATAATTTGGGAGCGCTTCACTATTTTAATGCACGGTATTTTTGATTTGTTGGTTGAGTTTGAGTGATTGCAGCTAGTAGATAGGGTCCTACCCATATTAAGCGCAGGAGGATATCCCCCCCTTTTTTTGGGTGCCAGAACTGTAGCTCAGGAAAGGCACACAGGAGGCCAATCACCTGCGAGGAGGCGGAGCCGAGTGGCCCCGCGAACATCGAGCGAAGGAAAGGCCGGAGTGAAGGACAGCTGACAGGTAAGTCTGCCGTGCAGATGGTGCTGCTGCAACCAGGTATGCTGGCTGCAGCAGCACCATGCTGGAGCAGGGGTCAGCAAGTTAAGTGTCATTGGTGTCAGTGGGAGGAATAGTGACCCATCATTGGTGTCACTGATACTAATGATGGGGCATTATTCCTCCCACTGACACCAATGATGGGGCACTATTCCTCCCCCCACTGACACCAACGATGGGGCACTATTCCTCCCCCCACTGACACCAACAATGGGGCACTATTCCTTCCCCCCACTGACACCAACGATGGGGCACTATTCCACCCCCCACTGACACCAATGTTGGGACACTATCCCCCCCTACTGACACCAATGACGGGGCACTATTCCCCCCCACTGACACCAATGACATACTATTCCTCCCACTAACACCAAAGATGGGCACTATTCCTCCCACTGACACCAATGATGGGACACTATTCCTCCCACTGACACCAATGTTGGGACACTATCCCCTTCCCCCACTGACCAATGACGGGGCACTATTCCCCCCCACACACACTGACACCAACGATGGGGCACTATGCCTCCCCCCACTGACACTAATGATGGGGCACTATTCCTCCCACTGACAACAATGATGGGGCACTACTCCTCCCACTGACACCAATGATGGGGCATGTTTCTTCCCACTTACACCAATGATGGGGCACTATTCCTCCCACTGACACCAATGATTGGGCACAATTCTTTCCACTGACACCAATGATGGGACACTATTCCTCCCACTGACACCAATGTTGGGACACTATCCCCTTCCCCCACTGACACCAATGACGGGGCACTACCCCCCCCACACTGACACCAACGCTGGGGCACTATTCCGCCCCCCACTGACACCAACAATGGGGCACTATTCCTCCCCTACTGACACTAATGATGGGGCACTATTCCTCCCACTGACACCAATGATGGGGCACTATTCCTCCCACTGACACCAATGATGGGGCACGATTCTTCCCACTATCACCAATGATGGGGCACTATTCCTCCCACTGACACCAGTGACGGGGCACTATTCCCCCCCACTGACACCAATGACATACTATTCCTCCCACTGACACCAAAGATGGGGCACTATTCCTCCCACTGACACCAATGATGGGTCACTATTCCTCCCACTGACACTAATGTTGGGACACTATCCCCTTCCCCCACTGACACCAATGACGGGGCACTATTCCCCCCCACACACACTGACACCAACGATGGGGCACTATGCCTCCCCCCACTGACACTAATGATGGGGCACTATTCCTCCACTGACACCAATGATGGGGCACTACTCCTCCCACTGACACCAATGATGGGGCATGTTTCTTCCCACTTACACCAATGATGGGGCACTATTCCTCCCACTGACACCAATGATTGGGCACAATTCTTTCCACTGACACCAATGATGGGAAACTATTCCTCCCACTGACACCAATGATGGGACACTATTCCTCCCACTGACACCAATGTTGGGACACTATTCCCTTCCCCACTGACACCAATGACGGGGCACTACCCCCCCACACTGACACCAACGATGGGGCACTATTCCGCCCCCACTGACACCAACAATGGGGCACTATTCCTCCCCTACTGACACTAATGATGGGGCACTATTCCTCCCACTGACACTAATGATGGGGCACTATTCCTCCCACTGACACCAATGATGGGGCACTATTCCTCCCACTGACACCAATGATGGGGCACGATTCTTCCCACTATCACCAATGATGGGGCACTATTCCTCCCACTGACACCAATCATGGGGCAATATTCCTCCCACTGACACCAATGATGGGGCAATATTCCTCCCACTGACACCAATGATGGGGCACATTTCTTCCCACTGACACCAATGATGGGGCACGTTTCTTCCCACTGACACCAATGATGGGGCACTATTCCTCCCACTGACACTAATGAAGGGGCACGATTCTTCCCACTGACACCAATGATGGGCACGATTTCTTCCCACTGACACAATGATGGGGCACTATTCCTCCACTGACACCAATGGATGGGGGCCACATTTTGCTCCATAAGACACACTTGGGGGGAAATGTCTGTGCGTCTTATGGACTGCTGGCCCCAAGTATTCCAGCCGCCGTTGTATGTCCGCAGGGTCTCTGGTCATCTCCTATACTGTGTCACCACATTTGTTCATAGTTTTTTTTTTCAGACTATAGTCTGGCCTCCAGTGGTCTGAGGGACAGTGAAACTGGCCCTGTTTAAAAGTTTGAGGACCCCGTGCACTACAACATGGAAGTGCACAGACCAATATACCCAAAAGGTCCCACCCACCAACAACATCCCCTAGTAATGACCTCACATAGGGCAAGGGTAAAGAGACACAGTGTAAAAAGGGTCAAAGAAATATCACACAAGGAGTAAATTACAGTCCCACCAAAAAAAGCTAAATATACAAGATTGTATATAAATAAATCCAGCATAAAAATGGAAAAATGCAGAAAAAGTAGAACACACAAAGCATGTTATAAAACACTCATAAAATGGCTGCAATTGCACATGGCAAAACACCAGGGCAGGCACGGATCACCCATAAATTAGAAAAAAAAAATATAAAAAATAAAAACAAATAAGAGATGTGCTATGGGGAAATCTAGCAACAAAAAATGAAAAAATATGAAATAGCCACAAAATACTGGAGGAAGACCCCAAACACGCCACGTTGCAAAAGTATATCTATTGTACCGAGTGTGGAATAAACAACCCATCAGAAGACAAAGAAAATAGATCCACAGAAAACAGGACAGTTTGTTGATTCACTATTGGGCAGTGGCGCGAATATTCGTGGGCGATAAACGCCCAAATTTTCAATGGAGAGCGACCGAGGGGGGGGTTCTATTTTTATCCCTGCAACCTAATTCACTATTGACCAGCGCCATAAGGCAGATCCCCCAATCTAATTCAAAAAAAGACCACCCCGGAATCAAAAACTCAAAAAAGCAGACTTGCTAAAAAGCACTTTCTAACCCCATGAAAAATCACTAAAGGAGAAACATGTTCACTTAAAAATTTTTGTTTTGGCCAAATACCCAGGACTTCATTTTAAACAATTTTGGGCTTTTTCCCTAAAAAAAAATTTTTTAAGGGAAATGGAAAAAAAAGGGGGTTTTTTAAAAATGGGTTTTTTTTCAAGGAAAAAAAAAAAAAAAAAAAAAAATTTCGACCCCAAAAAGAAAAAAATCTAGGGAAACCCCGGGGGGGGGGGGGGGGGGGGGCAAGGGGGGGGGGGGGGGGGGGGGGTTTTGGGGGGGGAAAGAAAAAAAAAAAAAGGGATTAAAAACTGGAAAGCAAATTTGGGGGGGGGGGGGGGGGGGGGGGGGGGGCCAAGAACCCCCCTTTTAAGCCCCCCCCTTCCCCCCCCCCAAAAGCCAGGGGCCGTTTCCCCCCTTTTTTTACCCCCCGGGCCCCCCCCCCCCTTTTGCCTTTTTTAAAATAGTTAAAACCCCCCCCTTCCCCCCCCCCCCCCGGGGTTTGGATTCCCCCTTTTTAAAAAAAGCCCGGCACCCCCCCCGGGTCCGTTTCTAATTGTGTTTAAATTTTTAAAAAAAGGCCCCAAGGCATAATTCCCTTTTTTTAATGTATTCTTTTTTAAAAGTTTTTTCCTTAGTTCTAGGGTTTTCTATTTTTTTTTCTTTTTCCTTTAAAATTTAAATTTCTGAAGGGATTTTACTTATTTCGAAGGTCTAATCAGGGGGGTGGGCAAATTTTTTTATTGGGGCCGCAAGGGGTTTCATATATTGGCCCCGGGGGCTGGCCCAAGAGTAGATAAATGATGTGAATGTTTTAATCCTAGAAGATAGTAATTTTCCCACCCATATTTAAGCATAGAAATTAAAATTTTCCCCCCATATATAATTCTCCCCCTTTTAGAAAATTCCACCCCAAATGAAATTTTCCCCCCATATAGTAATTCACCCCCCATGGGTTTAATGCCCCCCCCCCATATAGTAATTTTTTTCCCCCATAGTAATTCATCCCCCTTTAGTAATTCATCCCCAACCATATGGGAAATTCCCAACCCCCAAATATTTAATTCATCCCCCATAGTAATTCACCCCCCCATATATTTTTTTCTTTCCCCCCCCTTATAAAAATTCTTTCCCCCCTATAGTAATTCATCCCCCATATAGTAATTCTTCCCCCAAATAGAAATTTTCCATCCCCCATATAGAAAATTTAAATTCCCCCTATAGTAATTTCAAAAATTCCCCATTTTAAGATCCCCAAGTCCCCCCTGTGTAAATTTCATTTTATTTTTGGGCTCCGGCGTTCCTTCCCCGTGTTTCCCGCGCCGTTCCCGGTGTAGAAATGAAAAATCGGTCTCCTTGAGGATCGGGTC